TATTAGCGAGACCTCATGGCTTCACAGGGCCACAGGCCTCCATCACGTCTACCACAGCAAACCTGAGGTTTTGCCCAGACTGAGGTCTTCCCTGAGTTTATCAAACCTGCATTGGTGTCTATTAAACACCAGGGCTCTCAAACAACTGGAAACAAATCTTAACTTGAGGCCAAGTTTTTCCATCCCGGAACACATCAGAGTATCTGTATATATGTGTGTGTTGTGCAGTGTGTGTGTGTGTTTATGTGTGTGTGTGTTACCCAAACCATGACTCTGCATTCTTTGTGCTTCCTGGCTGAGTACGGCCTAAGAATTTTTTGATTTGGGATAACAAATAGTCTATCCATGCTGTGAATCCAGAGCCTGCTATAGTGTGAGTCCCGCACTTGCATCCACATCCTCAAACAATCCTATCTCAGCCAGGCGAGCTGGGCTGTATATTTCAAAGCGAGTCAGACATCGGCTCCATCTTGTGGACCATTTTTGGTAACTTATTTTTCCTGAAGTCTAAGGAACTGTATCCATGCCTGCTGGAGGGGAAGCTGATTTCTAGTTTGCCACTTCCCAAGGGTTTTAAGGACCTTTTAATTCTATGAACTATAACATGGTACTTACTGTGCCAGTTTGGCTCTAGGTCAGGCATTGTTATGTCTTTACTATTATTATTTTTATTGTGGTAAAATGTACATAACATAGAATTTACTATTTTAACCATTTTTAGATGCACCATTCAGTGGCATTAAGTACATTCACAATGTTTTGCAACCGTCTCCACTATTCATTTCCAGACTTCTTCATCATCCTTAACAGAAATTCGGTATCCTTTAGGCAATAACTCCCTATTCCTTCTGCTCGTAGCCCCTGGTAACCTCTATTCTACCTTCTGTCTCTGAATTGGACTGCTCTACGTACCTCATATAAGTGGAATCATACAATATTTGTCCTTTTGTGTTTGGATTATTTAACTTAGTATAATGTTTTAAAGGTTCATCCATGTTGTAGCAAGTGTCAGAATTTCATTCCTTTTTAAGGTCAAATCATATTCCATTGTACTTGTATACTACATTTTGTTTATCCATTTTTATGTTGATGGACACTGGGGTTGATTCCACCTTTTTGCTATTGTGCAAAGTGCTGCTGTGAACTAGGGTGTACAAGTATCTGAGTCCCTGCTTTCAATTCTTTGGGTATATGCCTAGAAGTGGAATTCTATGATGTCTTATTGTTTTTTTAGTTTTATTTTAAGGAACATTCTGGCTCAGGTCTGACTGATCATTCTTGATTTTACATTATTTCACGATTTTCAGTCAATGGAAAATGTCACTCAGGTATTCCACAGATGCAGGGTACATCAAGTTGTTTGTGGAGATTTAATCCGCTGCTTCGGAGGCTGCTGGGAGAGATTTCCCTTTCTCTTCTTTGTTCGCAGAGCTCCCGGGGCTCAGCTTTGGATTTGGCCCCGCCTCTTAGTGTAGGTCGCCTGAGGGCGTCTGTTCCCTCTCAGACAGGACGGGGTTAAAGGAGCAGCTGATTCGGGGGCTCTGGCTCACTCAGGCCGGGAGGAGGGAGGGGTACGGATGCGGGGCGAGCCTGCGGAGGCAGAAGCCGGCTTGACGTTGCACCGGCCTGAGGCGCGCCGTGTGTTCTCCCGGGGAAGTTGTCCCTGGATCACGGGACCCTGGCGGTGGCGGGCTGCACAGGCTCCCCGGAAGGGAGGTGTGGATAGTGACCTGTGCTCGCACATAGGCTTCTTGGTGGCGGCAGCAGCGGCCTTAGCGTCTCATCCCCGTCCCTGGGGTCCGCGCTGATAGCCGCGGCTCGCCCGCGTCTCTGGAGCTCCTTTAAGCGGCGCTTTTAATCCCCTCTCCTCGCGCACCAGGAAACAAAGCGGGAAGAAAAAGTCTCTTCGGCAGGTCCAGACTTTTCCCCGGATTCCCTCCCGGCTAGCCGTGGTGCACTAACCTCCTGCAGGCTGTGTTCATGCTGCCATCCCCGGTCCTCTCCCTGCAATCCGACTGAAGCCCGAGCCTCAGCTCCCAGCCCCGCCCTCCCCGGCGGGTGAGCAGACAAGCCCCTCGGGCTGGTGAGTGCTGGTCGGCACCGATCCTCTGTGAGGAAATCTCTCCGCTTTGCCCTCCGGACCCCTGTTGCTGTGCTCTCCTCCGTGGCTCCGAAGCTTCCCCCTGCATCTTCTTTTTTCTTTTTTTTCCAGTCATTATGCATAAATCCATCTCTTTTTTAAATTGAGGTATAGTTGATTTACAATATTATGTTAGTTTCAGGTGTACAACATAGTGACTCAAAATTTTTATAGATTATACTCCGTTTAAAGTTATTGTAAAAATTGGCTATATTCCCTGTGCTATATGGCATGTCTTTGTAGCTTATTTTATACATAGTAATTTGTACCTCTTAATCCCATACCCCTATCTTGCCCCTCTCCCCTCCCCGCTCCCCACTGGTAACCACTAGTTTGTTCTCTATATCTGTGAGTCTGTTTCTGTTTTGTTATATTCACTCATCTGTTTTATTTTTTAGATTCCATATATAAATGATAACATGAGAGTATTTGTCTTTCTCTTTCTGACTTATGTCCATCCATGTTGTTGCAAATGGCAAAGGGACAGTATCAGGCTCTAGGAATGCAGAAGTGATGAAGTCCCTGTCATCAAGGAACTGTTTAATAGAGGAGATAGGACAGGAATTTAGGTCACCTTGACCTTGAGCAGCTTTAAAGGCTGTGAGAGGCTGTTGCCAAAAAAAATCTTGGCTCTCTGTGCACTGATGCCGTACAGAAATAAAGCGACAGAGATTTTGGAGGATAAGAGAGATGGCTTTATTCCTCTGCCAGGCATAAGGGAAGACACAGCAGGCTAGTGCCTCAAGAACTGTGCCCTCCCCCCCCCCCCACCATTCAGGGAATTAGAGAAGATTTTATATGCGGGGCTTGCAGTCCAGGGTATATGATAAGGATCAAAGTAGTGAAGGTCTTGCATTCTTTTTGTCCTTGCATTATTTCAAAACAGTCATAGTTGGCATCAGGCAGCCTGGTAATTGGGTCCATTTGTCTCTGGTTTATCGGCCTGTGACCTTCTTTCTGAAATGCAAAAGCTACAGTGGGTGATTGTTACAAGAGAGACCAGGTGCTTTGTGACCGCCTGGAGGGGTGGGTTAGGGAGGGTGGGAGGGAGGGAGACGCAAGAGGGAAGAGATATGGGAACATATGTTTATGTATAACTGATTCACTTTGTTATAAAGCAGAAACTAACACACCATTGTAAAGCAATTATACCCCAATAAAGATGTTAAAAAAAAAAAAAAAAGAGAGAGACCAGGGAATGTAAACACCAGGACCAGGATGTAATTTACATAAAGTTAGGGAGTGGTAGGCACAGGATGTAATTTACATAGTGTCAGGGAGTGGTAGGTTAAGCTTTGTGAAGTACAAATGTAGTTACAGACACTACAGATTAGTAACACTGAAAATAAAACAAGGAGTGATTAACTTTTTCAGGCCAGGTTATGTTTCTTCTCTAGCCTGTTCACTGTTCCCTTTATTTCCCTTGTTCTCAGGAGAGGGGGGAAAAGAAACCTCACTTCCATTTCTATTGCAACAAGGCATCTACAAAGTTCATCCTCCAGAGGACGGAGGACTTGGATGTGGCTGGGAGACCAGGCAAGTCTCCATGAAGGAGATGGCATTGAGCTGGATGATGAAAGTCATGGGTGTTGGGTGGGGGGTGGACAAGAAGGGTCCTCCTCAGACTTGCATAGTATTGACTTTGATCCTCCCCCTCCAGTCCTGGATAGAACTGTCATATCCCCATTTAGCCCCCTAGGGATGTAATCTAGGCTTGGTCAGTGTACCCACCTTCACTCAGGCCAATCTGAAGGCCCCAACCTTTTGGTCACTCACTCACATGGGTATCCCTTTGACCCACATCCAGCTGCGTGTAGCTGAGGAATCCAGCCCTGGGAATTGTGAAACATCTGGATAATCTGCTCCATGGCTGCCCTCAAGTAACATGTAGCCTGGAGGCTTTAATTGAGTAGGCGTAAAAGGCTTCTTCCTTCCCAGCCCCACAGACCTCCAGACTCCAGGATAAGTTGTCCACATGTCTTCCTCTAGGGTGAGGCTACATCTGGGTGGGTATACGTGTGGATATCTCTTACTCAGAGGCTGCTAAGGCAGCCCCATTTCCTCCTCTTTTTTTTTCTCCTAGGGAGTAGATACTCCAGGTAGGAGAGGTCTGGGGCAGGGAGAAGGGAAGGGAAATGGATCCCTTTGAAAGACCCCAAATGATCTAACGTGGGAGAAAGCCACAGAAGCTAGAGGGCCAGAGAAGTAGAGAAGGTATATGCAGGCTTAGGAAATTCAGGGCAAAATAAGACCAAGTGAAGAAAGGGTAGAGACTCGGACCTCCTTTACACTTGACTATGGTGGACATTGGCCTGGGAAAAGTGGACTATCAGCTCAACTAGGTTACAGTTTTTGTTTTTCTTATTTAAGAAAAAAAATAAGTTATTATGGTTATTGATGAGTGGGACCCCTGGGAGTTCCCACCACGATTTGCTCCCCTTTCAAATCCATTTTCCCCTCCTGGGGTGGATTTTAGCAGGTTGTAAATGCTAGGTTCCCATGACAGCTCCAGCTCATGGAGAAGAGAAACAAACACTCAGGGCACCTGGGTCCCTGATCTAACCGAATGTTCTTTTTCCTTCCAGCTTCCACGGGCTAGCCAGGCAATGTCACAGCAGAAGCAGCAATCTCAGGAGACTCCAAGTGCTCTCAGATGCCCCCCTCCCCAAGGCCCAAATCCTTCCCTGTTCTCCTGCTCCGTTCCTTGCACTCCCTGTACAGGAGGCTGTAGTTCTGTTTCCCAAAGGGCCTGGGATCAGAGCCCGGCTGGCTCTTGGAGGGCTCCCCGGAAGCCCCACGGCCTCAGGGGTGGCACAACCTACCACATCAAAGAGGAGAAGTGTTAAGGAGTATTAAGGTGACTGGCCCAGAAAAGGGGACACGAGGACAGCTGCTCTTGCCCCACCCGGGTCTCCGGCACTCATTCGCTGGAAGCTCAGGCCCCTCCCTCTCATTTGGGCTGGGAAACACCTCCTGGCGCCCCTGCACTTAGGAGGCCAGAACTCTGCTAAGCTGTACTTCCACATCTGTCCTCCACCCACCCCTTCAGCTCAGCACCAACACAGCTGCTTTGGAGGTGCGGCTGCTGTGAACACTTGAGGTTTCTGCTCAGATGTGCTGAGACTTTTGCAGGTGGAGGCTGCCCCTCCTTCTTTCCTCCTAAGAGAGCTGAGGATGTTTTAAAGAGACAGGTGGTTTGAGACTTACGTCTGAGTTCTCAGCATCCTCACATCCATTGACCTGTGTCATCCCCCGATCCTAGCACTGAAGGCATCAATGTAATAAACATATGCTGAAAACCTACTGTGTACCAGGCTCTGTGTTCACAGATGTAAGTTGGAGATTTGTTTCTGCTCTAGAAAAGCTTACAGTCTAGTGGGAGAAGCAATGTACACTCCAGACTGAAATATGTAGACTAATAAATATAATTTTAAGCTGATGGACATACTTATTTTTTTCTTACTTTGCATCTAAAAGAACTTAAAGGGGGGAAAAAAAAGTAAGAAAGGTCAAGGACAGCAGGGAGAGACTCATCCTGATGGTGTAGGTCAAAGGTGGCTTCCTGGGCTTTGGAAGGAGAAATTCAAAACAGAGAGAGCACACCACTTGTGGGAGAGAAGAATAGGCTCCCCGGGGTAGGGTTGGAAGCATTTAAACAGGGCCTTTAAGGATAAGCAGACTTTGGTACTGGGGCTGGGATGAGTAGGGAGGATCTTGCAGGTGGAAGATACAGCACAATGGAATGCAAGGCAAATGGGGTACTTGTCAATGACATGGATTTCAATTGGGCTGGATTGCCAGGTGTAGGATGATAATGTGGGACAGTTCATAACTCCAATTCCTTATGAAAACTCAAACCAACTGAATTTGCTGAACTTAAGGTTTAAAACTCCAGCTACCAAAAGATTATACCCAAGCTCAGAGTCTATCAGTCTGGGATTGGGGGGACCTGAGGTAAAGAAAGTATAGAGGCCTGGAGAGGTTTGAGGTTCAATTATGTTGCCTATCAGTATAAGTTTCGTGTGAAAATTTTAGCTGATTCTTATTTTCTGGGGGACACTGAAGTATTTTTTTTAACCAAGTACCCAACCCAGTAGACTGTATTGCCCAGGCTCAGAGCAGAATATCAGCCTGTCTATCATTTCCAATACACAGGATGCTTATTTCCATAGTTTAGTCATCCCCCCTATTGCTAGGACCTGATTTTGCCTCTGTTGTGAAATATTTATACCTAGTCATATAGATATAGTATAATTATATATAATTATAATTTTAAACGTATAATTTTTTCTCATTAAACAAATGATACATACTTGTGTGTATGCAAGATATGTTAATGTAGATAAGCATAAGGAAGATGATCAAGACCAACCAAAAATCTTATCACCTAAAAATAACTACTGCTAATAATTTCATGGATCTATTTCCAAACTTTAAAACAATCACAAAATAAGATCATTTCAGAATATTGTATAACCTGCTGTTTTACTTAACAATGTAATTGTCAATGCTCTTCCATGCAAAAAAATATTGATCAACATTATTATACTCTATTGGATGAATACGCCATAAATTTATGTAACTAGTTCTCTGATATCTGGCACTAAAATTGTTTCCACTATTTTGCTGTTTAAACAACAGTAAATATATATATATATATGTATGTATAAAATAATTTAGAATTGGAATTCTATTTTTAAAAATTTTTTATTGAAGTATAGTTGGTTTACAATGTTGTGTTAGTTTCAGGTCTACAGCAGAGTGATTCAGTTATATACATATATATTATATCCTTTTTCATATTCTTTTAAATTATGGCTTATTACAGGATATTGAATATAGTTCCCTTGGCTATACAGTAAGACCTTGTTTGTTTTACATATAGTAGTTTGTATCTGCTAATCCTAAACTCCTAATTTATCCCTTCCCCACCCCCTTTCCCCTTTGGTAAACATAAGTTTGTTTTCTATGTCTGTGAGTCTGTTTCTGTTTTGTAAATAAGTTCATTTGTATCATATTTTAGATTCCACATATAAGTGATATCATATGGTATTTGTCTTTCTCCTTCTGACTTACTTCACTTAGTATAATGATCTCCAGCTCCATCCATGTGCTGCAAATTACATTATTTCATTCTTTTAATATGGCTGAGCAATATTTCATTGCATATATATACTACATCTTTTTTATCAACTCATCTGTCAGTGGACATTTAGGTTGCTTCCATGTTTTAGCTATTGTAAATAGTGCTGCTACGAACATTGGGGTGCATGTATCTGTTCGAATTAGAGTTTTCTCTGGATATATGCCTAGGAATGAAATTGTTGGAATTCTAGAATTGCCAAAGATTATAAAGTTTTTTTATTTTATTTTTTTTCAGACCCTCCAGGAAAATTGCATCTTGGTAGCAATTACAATGCCTCCATTTAAGAAAATCATTTTTGGGAAAAGGATGCCTTTTTTCAAGAGCAAGAGTGAGTACTATGTTAAAAAAAATTACCCTAGCTGCAGAAAAAGAATCCCTCTTGTGAGAAGAAATACTTTCTGAGAAACTTGACAAGTATCTATCTATTTTACTGTCATGAAATTCATACTTTTAAAAAAATGTTTAGATGCTTTCTCCCTTTGAAGGAAAAAGGATGCTTTATATTGTATAAAGCAATGTCTTAGGAATTTTGATATACCATTGCTTAAGCTTCCATATTTAGTTGATAGGTTTTTAAATATTTTTGATTTTAGATATTCAGTTATGTCCATGTGAGAGATTTCTGGAAATGAAACCTCTTTTTTCCCTAAGAAAAAAGCAAAATATAAACGTTTGGTTGATTGTGCAAAGCTTAATGTGAAAGAATATTTTTTTTTCTATTTTTAATTTCTGCTCTTTATTGAAAACAGATATTCACCAAGTCAAAACAAAAAAAAATTAAGTTTTGACAGAAACAAATTTTCTTTGACAAGAGTACTAGTTAATTCCCTCCACTAATTGTTCAACTTACATAGTGTTGCATTGACACACTGTTCAGTCTGTATCAAATTGACTTCAAAATTACATTGAAAATAAACTGGTAATTTGATCATTGTTTTTCTTCATTAAGGTCTTCATTTGGCATCTTCACATTTTCTAAATATGTCTCTACATCAGAAATGTCAATATTATAAATGTCTTTTTTGTGTTGCATTAGTATGGCTTTATTTTAATATCGTACACACAGTATACCTTTGTTTTATAGTAACAAATAACAAAAAACAAAGACTTCACATTTTGTGCAAAATGTGCTATATATGAAATCTTGGGCCAGCAAAAATAGGTAAGTGGTATCATCATTTTTCTTTAGAATGTATCTAACTTTACACTCTTAATGCATATTAAATATTTACACATTTTAAATATTTTCTACTTAGAAAAATTTTATGTTGACAGAGCATTGACATTTAATATGCCCTTTTATCTAATTTAAAAAAAATGTTAAATGCAGTATTGTATGGACTAAATAAAGAACATGTAAATAAAAAAAAAAAAGAGAATGAAAGAAAGCAAGTTGCTAGATATTTTAAAGAGCTCCCCAAGGACTTTGAAAGGTCCCTGAGTGAAGGTTTCACAGCATTGTGTACCCTCTTCACCAGTCTGGATTCCAGTCTTACAACAAGGGAGTTCTTGCAGGGGAACTGAGTTTGAGCTCAGTGATCTAATGCCAGGACAGCCCCTGCCTCAGAATGCCCAGCTCTCCCTGGGTCTCCAGTCAGGACAGACGTGCCTCTCGTTTGCCTGGCTCTGTGATCAACCTCTAGTGAGGCTGGCCTAGCCCACTCCCTAGGTCTAATGTGCTTTCAGCAGCTCTTAGTTTACGACGTCTGCAGACCAGATTTTATATTACTAGATCCTATACACTTCATGACATAGCACAAATAGTAATAAAAAATCATTGTTTTTATTGATCTCTGTAAAGTTGTTACAAATAAAATATTAAAACAAAATCATCCTGAGGTGAAAGAAAGTATGTGGTGCTAATTTCCACTCTTATTTAGTGGAAGGCAAGAAATACTGCCTAAACGTGGCAGGTGAAGAAATAGAATTTTAGTTATAGTATTTAAAGTTATAGAGGTAGCCAATAGTAGTATGAAAAATAAAACCATGTCTAAATAAGGAGGAGGAGGGGAAGGGACAATGAACATGAACTTCATTCACTGTGTTTCATTGAGGGAAGTAAATAGGTCTGAAAGGAGGCAAAGAAATAAAGGTATAAGCAGGTTGTTTACAGTGACACATTTTTTCATATTACAACCTATTGAATCACTTGATTTTTAATTTTCATTTCTATATATTACTTTTTCTAAAAATCAATCAAATCACATCCTAGTTTTACATTCCTGTATGAGTCCTAGGCCAAACTGTCCTTAACAGAGTGAGTGTTAAGTTCAGACCCCTGTCAGGTGGAACCCATTTCAAATCTGATAATTCTGTGATTTTACTCAAGTTTCTGTGCTTTTCTATGGCTCAGTTTCCTCATTTAGAAATAAAGTAAAATAAGAGTATCTGTTTCATGGGACTGTGGAGGGGATTATATATGATATTGTAGGTAACACGTTTTGACACACATGTTAGTTGTAATTTACATTTGGGGTGTACTCTATGTTTTAATAGGCTTTTTTATTTAACATAGTTTTAGATTTACAGGAAAGTTGCAAAGATAGTACAGAGAATTTCCCACGTCCCCTGTAACAGTTTCCCCTGTTGTTGAGATCTTACACTAGTATGGTACATTAATTACAATTAAAGAATAAATATTGATACATTATTATTAACTAAAGTCCATACCCATATTTTATTCAGATTTCTTTAATTTTTAACTCGTGTCTCTTTTGTGGTCCTGGATCCCATCCAGGACACCATATTACATTCTGTTGTCTTGTCTCCTTAGGCTCCTCTTGACTGTGACAGTTTCTTAAACTCTCCTTATTTTGGATGACTTTGACAATTTTGATGAGTACTGGTCCGGCATTTCGTAGAACGTCTCTCAGTTGGGATTTGTGTGGTGTTTTTCTCATGATTAGAATGAGATTATGGCTTTGAGGGAGGAGGATCACAGGGGTAAAATGCCATTCTCATCATATCATATTACATATCATATCAACATATCAACGGTACATACTATCGACATGACGTCGCTGTTGATACCGACCTTGATCACCTGGATGAGGTAGTGTTTGTCAGGTTTCCAAACTGTAAGTTTACTCTTTTTCCTTTCATTTCTGTACTCCTCTCTGGAAGGAAGTCACTATATGCAAGCCCATTCAAAGGGGTAGGAAGTTATGCTCCATCTCCTTGAGCGGGCAGTAGCTACACAAATTATTTGGAATTTTTCTGTAGGAAGATTTATCTGTTTCTCTCTGTTTCTCTCTCTCTCTTTCTCTTTATTTAAATTTATTCAATCATTTATTTATATCAGTAGGAACTCATAGATATTGGGTATCTATTTATTTTATACTTTGGGTTCTAATCCAATGCCAATTTATTTATTTTTTTGTTCATATTATTCCAGCTTTGAGAGCTCTTTCAATGAGCTCCAGTGTCCCTTTGGCTTAACCCCATTTGGATTCTTTTTTAAGCACTTCCTTGTTTTATGGCATTATAAGATGATCCAGGTTCATTTTGCATATTCTCTGCCCCAGTCCTAGATTCAGCTATTTGTCTTGTGAGCCCTGCTTTGTTTTATTAGGAAATTACATTATAAACCAAGATCTGGGTGTTGGTTGTGTTCACTGCTACTGGGGTGTCATTGCTTCTTGGCCTTCCCAGTGGATGGAGCTTTGAAATATACATGTGCATACTAACCAGTGTATAGGCACAGGTCTGCAATTCTTTCAATAGTTATCCATTGGTATCTATATTCAGCTGAAAATGAATTCATACTGATGACTTCAACTCTAATTCAGTATCTCATGGTTTATCCTAGCCTCTTTCTTTGTTCCTCTGTAATCGTCCACTCCAACAATGAGAAATTAGCTCCCACCATTTGCCACACATTCACTTATTTGTTCATTCCCAGTATGCAGGAATGGTATCCTCTGTTTTGAAAACAAAGTTATGAAAGCCCAGAAGTAATTTCATGCTGTGCAAGCAACGTTTTTTCTTGCCTCTGGAGGCTATATAGACTATTGATTAAAGAGGAAAGAATGGTGAGCCAGGGTGCTTGAAGCTGGGTAAAGACGGGTCAGGATAGAGACCAGGCATCCTGAAGACCAAGGGACTAAACTGAAATGGACTGTCACTCCATGGGAGCTCTTTCAGCGAGCTCCAGTGTCCCTTTGGCTTAACCCCATTTGGATTCTTTTTTAAGCACTTCCTTGTTTTATGGTATTATAAGATGATCCAGGTTCATTTTGCATATTCTCTGCCCCAGACCTAGATTCCACTCCCCAGAAATCATCTGCTAAACATAGACTCTGCTCAGCTTCCTCCTCCCGCCATCCCGTCTTAGCAGACTCACTTCCCAGGAGCAAGCTCATCACATGGCTTGGGCATAAAGCATGAGATCACAGACACCTTGTGTGGGACTATAGGCATGAGAAAGCCTCATTCCATACCCAGGCACGGGTTAGGACCAGTTTGGATTCTCTCGATGAATCAGGGTAGGAGAGGACATAGCATCTCTGTCATAAAACTACATGTAGGAGATCAGAAAACAGTAGGGGACAGCCTATAGGTAGATCAAAGAACACAAGTATTAAATTTGTGACCTAAATATTTACTATACCTCAGACTAATGATTAGTTCTGAACTTTCTGGTAGATAAAATCTAAAGAGACAAATTATCTGATATATATAGTCTTCAAGAGAAGGCTTGCCCTTCCTAACAATGGATACTAAAAGAAATTGTTTGCAATGATCAGGGATACACTTAAAAACATTATTAGAACAAAATTACAGATGGAGGACAACCACTATTGTTTTACCTCCCATTGAGAAAAGCAAGTCACATTAAACAAATTCCTGCTTATTAACATGGCAGAGAGGGTCAACTGAGAGTATAAGGAAGCTTGAAAACAGAAGGTCTCACAGGTCTAGTCATAGCTTTGTTCACAAAGGATGTAACTCACCCATCTGTGAAACATGGATAATAAAAGTACCTCCATTCTTCATTCTGGTCTGAAATGATGCTCAAATAAGATAAAGGGGTCTAAATAAACCTATCTTACTGCTCTGTTAACCACCTGCTCAGGCTTCTTCTAACACCTAAAAAGAACAGAACCTAAGTCCCAGACTGCTCTCTCTCTCTCCAGATGCTCTGTCAATTCTCTCAAGTCCCTGAATTCTGACGGATCCCTCCTCCTCCCTTGAGCTTTAGTATGCCCTCTCGACATGGACCTGTGATGTCTCCATTCTTCTCCTTCTGATTGAAGTCCCAGAAGTTCTACCCTTATCTCTGACAGGTTCTCTCTGTCCTGCTTTGATTGCCAGTGGAGTAGAGAGATTGACATACTCTCTGAACCCCATACAAACTCAGTCCCTGCCTGGATCGAACACTAGCTCTACTCATTTTTCTAGTGCCTAGTTAATAAGTTTGCTCTCAGACCCTACAGGCAAATGATTTTTAGGGAACTTTCCTCATTATAGCTTTATATAATAGCTCTGATATATGAGAGCCATTTTTCAAATATATGACTCCAATTAACCCTGAATTTTTGCCTGATCCATCCCAATGTCCATTGTCACAGCTTGCAGCCTCAACCTATGCATGACTCATGGGGATATTTGGAGTAGATGGTGGTGGACATGTTGGGGGTGGGAGGTGGGAAGAGTGTCGTGAAACCAGCTTTTCCCAGTCACTGACATGTTCTCATGATATTCATTGTTATTTATAAATCTTTAGAGAAATAAAAATATAGGCCCTGAGCACTGAGTGACACTGAACTAGCCAAATAGTAATATAATAATACCAACAACAACACAAAAAGAAACAGCAACAATCTGTATTTATAGAGCACCTACTATGTACAACCTGACTTCTAATGACTGTATGCATATTATTTATGTAATCATCACAACAGCTCTATGAAGTAGATGTAATTTTTATCACCATTTTACAGATGAGTAGTCATAGTACAGAGAAGACAAGTGACAAGCCTAATGTTGTACAAATAATAAGTGATGGAACCTGGATTTGAAGCTGGGTGATCCGAGTGCAGATACTAGACATTTAACCCCTATGCTGTGCTCCCAAGAGGATCGTGCTCCCCCTC